TTATATATGTAACTGAGACAGCTTTGGGAAAATGGTAATTTTTGTTAGTGCTCTTATTACAGAATTTTGCTTATTATTCTTGATGCATAAACAAATATTTCTATTCTTGGTGAGTTGGTGAGCCTGAAAGAGATAACATCTTAGTTGTGAGTCAAATTTGATTTGAAAACTAAGAGAGCATAGCATGGGACATTGTGTTATTGAATACATGTGATTAGTTTTCAGAGACAGGGTATTTTTTACAGATACTTTGTCAATAATTACTCTGGTGTTAGACCCATCAAAATCTTTTCTGTTTAACTTGTTTTAATTTTGATCTTATGTAGATCCATAGTAAACTACCTACTGAATAATTTAGGCCATTTTTACTTTAACAACAGTCTCATTGCAACAAAGTTATTTCTGTGAGGATTGCTGTGTCAGTTTACGGATGCATGTATGATTGCAAGCGCACTACCACATGTCATTAATGCCAGCACCAGAGTAAAGTGCTTTGTGGACTTTTCCTCTGTGAATTATTCAGTTGATTCATCATCCCTTTGCTAAGTTCAAGGTGATATAAATAATCATACATTTGGGGGCAAGCTCATTTCATCTGGGGTTTACGCTTGCAGGTTGTTCTAAGCAGCGGATTTTTGTAGTCTATTTGAAGAATAAGGCTGAAATCTCTGAATTAGATTCAGTCTTTCAAAATGCACATAATTTACTAGTGAGTCGAGCAGTCAATGCTATTAAATGTTCTAGAGAGCCAAACAGATTCACTGAAAGACAGCACCTCTTACCTCTTTAACAGACCAGCTTTAGAAATAATTATTCAAGAATGGAAATTTCCCTTTCTTCCTTGTTTCAGTTCAGCTAGTATTAGTGGATGTTGCCAATAGACCACACAAAATCTTTGCATGGTATAACCTACTGGGGAGGTGTGCGCACTGCTGTGCTGTACAGTGTAATTTGTCCCTACTATGTAGAGTTGTTTTGGCAGAGTGATTCTTCGTGCTAATAGTGTTATGGGGAGTAAACACTGTAGGCATAGTGAGTTTCACTTGCAAACATTGAACTAACTAATGCTTGTATGCTCAGCCCCTGAAAGCAAGATATTGTGAGTATCTGGAAACAAGTTTACTCAAACCTACCAATTGCAGCCCTGACATTGTCTTAGCCCTTTTATGTGTTTTGCTCAGATCACTTTTCAGAGTTTCTTTTTTTACTATTTTTACTATTCTGGAATACCCATCTCTTGGCAGTCAGGTGAAGTCCTTGGTGACTGGAAAAAGGGAAATGTTGCACCCATTTTTAAAAAGGGTAGAAAGGATGACACAGGTAACTACCGACCTGTCAGCCTCACCTCTCTGCCTGGGAAGATGATGGAACAGATGCTCTTAGAAGCTATGCTAAAGTACATGGAGGACAGAGGTGTGAAGTGATACAGCCAGCATGGCTTCACCAAGGGCAAGTCCTGCCTGACCAACCTAGTGGTCTTCTATGATGGAGTGACTATATCAGTGGATAGTGGAAGAGCTACAGATGATGTCTATCTGGACTTCTGTAAGGCCTTTGATATACCATCCTTTGCTCTAAATTGGGGAGAGATGGTTTTGATGGCTGGACTGTTTGATAGATGAGGAGTTGGTTGGATGGTCATATCCAGAGGGTAGTGGTCAATGGCTCAATGTCCTGATGGAGATCGGTGACAAGTGATATTCCTCAGTGGTCCATATTGGGACGAATATTGTTTAATATCATCATCAAGGCAGTGGAATAGAGTGCTGCCTCAGCAAGTTTGAAGACAACACCAAGCTGAGTGGTGCGACTGATACACCTGAGGGACAGGATGCCATCTAGAGGGACCTGGACAAGCTGGAGAAGTGGGCCTGTGGGAACCTCATGATGTTCAATGAGGCTAAGTGCAAGGTTCTGCACCTGGGTCAGGGCAACCCCCAGTATAAATACAGGCTGGGGGATCAAGGAATTGAGAGCATCCCTGAGGAGAAGGACTTGGGGTCACTGGTGAATGAGAAGCTGGACATGAACTGGCAGTGTGCTCTCACAGCCCAGAAGGCCGACTGTATCCTGAACTGCATCAAAAGCAGCATGTCCAGAAGGTCGAAGGAGGTGGTTCTGTCCCTCTGGACCCCACCTGGAGTACTGTGTTCCTCTCTGGAGTCCTTAGTACAAGAAAGACATGGACCTGTTGGAGCAAGTCCAGAGAAGAGCCACAAAAATGATCAGAGGGGTGGAACACCTCTTCTATGAAGAAAGACTGAGAGGGAGTTGCAATTGTCCAGCCTGGAGAAGAGAAGGCTCTGGGGAGACCTTATTGTGACATTTTAGTATGTAAAGAGGGCCTATAAGAAAGGTGGGAACAAACTTTTTTATCAGGACCTGTTGTGGGAGGACAAGGGGTAATGGTTTTAAACTAAAAGAAGGTAGATTTAGACTAGGTATAAGGAAGAAAATTTTTTACAAGGGTGGTGAAAAACTGGAACAGGTTGCCCAGAGAGGTGGTAGATGCCCCATCCCTGAAAACATTCAAGGTCAGGCTGGATGGAGCTCTGAGCAACCTGATCTAGTTGAAGACGTCCTTGCTCATTGCAGGAGGGGTTGGACTAGATGACCTTCAAAACTCTCTTCCAACCCAAACTATTCTATGATTTTATGAAAATCATATAAAATGACATATGTATAGGAATCTAAACAGATCCGTTTGGGTTTTGAAAAGTATAGAATACTGGGAAGAATTCAGTTGCCATCATGAAAAAGAAAGCTGTGATTTTCATTTCACATTTTTCTTCACAGCTAAACTGCACAAAGCAGGTAATACTCTAAGGGTTCTGAAGATCAAAATGTGATCCTTTCTATGTAATAATTCCTTTAACTATTAAACACAGAGCCCCACAAATAATGTCCTAGATGAGATACAGTGATTACAAGGTGATTGTAACCTTTGACAACTACAAGCCAGTTCTATTTGTAGTTCAAGCAAACTTTTTTTTTGGTCTTTTTTTTTTTTTGTTTGTTTGTTTTTTAATCTCTGAGGGAATTCTTTAAAATAGTGTATGTAGGCTGTAGCAAATGCAGAACTTAATCCATAATGATTTTCTTCTTTCACGGCAAATACATGGAAGCCATAGTCTTTTTGTTCTGTCATTTGATGTCTCAGCAACTAAAACAAATCTTAAGCACTGTAAGAGTTTGGAGATAGAGGTTTTATTGCTAACTCTGATGTTTTTCAGGCTTCATTTTGAAACATTGCAATGGGCAACTTGGCCATCTCATTAACTTCAGATGCTATGCAAAGCATCTGAAAGGAAGGATTTTTTCTCCCACCAGCCATTTTTCAAAAAGCTCCTGGGGAGTGGAGTGAGGCAAGTAGCTGGGTAGAACAGAGCTGAGAAAGTTTAGGGTTGCTAGTAAAGCTCCTCTCCATCCCTGGCCAGCTACATCTCCTTGGGTAGGAGTAGCAACTGTGGGAACTACTGCAAGTGGAGCAGACGGACACATCTTTCTCAGTTTCAGCACTATGATCCAAAATGATCATCCTCTAATTGCAAATGATCTGAAGCTTATCATTATTAAGCATCATTTTATTGCTTTTCTTCTAGATCCCTAAATCCATTTTTCAAGTTGTAATTAGTCTTCAGTGTTTCTCAGAGTCAGTAATTAAAAAGAAAACATATATTCATGTAATAGGAGCGATTTTCTACTTTGATAAGGCTACTTATGAGCCTTAATAAAGCTACCTTATGAGCCTTGGCAAGAGTAGAAATTTTATTTAACAACTTTCCAGGAATACTGCAGAAATAAAAGCTTGATTTAAACACATCTTGCTGTGTGCATCTTTGCTCTTGAGGGGAACCTCTTGACTCCACTGAGATGATGAAAGTTGTGAACAGGTTTATATGTTTGGCAGGACCAGTCCTTCCTTAATATTCTAGAAATAAAAAGTGGTTTATAGCACTGGAATTGGGTAAAAATAAATGTCAATAAAGAAGATGTATGGGAACAAGCTGCCCTGGACCTAACATAACATTTCCAATACCATGTTACACAACTTTTATGTAACTCCTGGTTGTACTCTCTAATAAGAGTTATCCTGAAAGCCTTATTTTAATTTATAAGATGTGCATGTGTATGATACATAATGTACTTTTATTCATATGCCAAGATCTGCAGCCAAATTATTTACTATCAGCATAAGTCTCTTAATAATTTAGCCTTTAATCTTCTATAGTATTTTCTCTTGCACACTCTTTGTCTATGTCTTGCTGCCTTTGTAGTTGTCTGGGAACTGCTGTTCACACAACCCAATTTCAATGCAAAAGTGGTATTTCTTTGTAAAAATAATTGCTGCTTTAACAGCCAAAGTGTATTCCTATAGTTACAGTGTGGTGGAAAGAATTATAGTAGTTTCATCACTTTTAAGATAGAATGTGTTGTTTCTCTCTTTTCCTGCTTGAGTTTTTTGAAATTAGAGTGTAGATGTGGAATATTACAATAAAATATTTGACATCATTAAGATTCACCAGTTTAATCAGGCATATATGCAGTCTACTTTATTCACGTTATCAGATCTCTTGCCCATAATCTTTTATTTTTTCATTAAGCAATGTGGGGGCTTGGAAGGCTGAGGAGTTTCAGATCTGTATGTGTCTTTGACAGCTTGGAAGAGAATGACATGTGCACTAGAACTACCAACAGAACCTCCGTGAGGTTTTTTCCCCTTAGCTTTCAGCCTGTATGTCTCTTACCATGGCTTCCTACATGAATTAAGACTTTCTGGTAGGATACTTGTGCTATTAAGGAAATAAGGTTAAAACAATTTGTAAAAGAACTGGTAAGGATCTTGGAACCATTAAATATGGAAGAACATTTCAAAGGTATTTGACATTTTGTATGCTACCTACGTTGATTTAATTGATCATTGTCATTATAATTGAAATGATGTTATAATTTGAATTATTTTCTACCAGAGCTTTTTTTTTTTTTTTTCTTTAATGCAGGTTTAAGATTTTTAAGAGCCCTTAGACTGATACAGTTTTCAGAAATTTTGCAGTTTCTGAATATCCTTAAAACAAGGTAAGATCTTTTCCTACATAATGGGTTAGTTGCATTGGTGATGGAATGTAAACGGCCTAGGTTTGTGTTCCTAGTGATATATGATCTTCTTTTCTGGAAAAAAAACACTTGTTATCTGTTCTTTAAACCTTTTTCTGCTGATGAATGATTTATCTTTTGCTATGTGATCAGTAGATTGTACTTGATGTGTTGTTACATTTGAAATATCTGAACAAGACTGTATGCTGATAAATTAAAAGCGGAATGAATTACAGAGCTCTGCACTGATTAAACATTGCTTCTTTCCACATAATCAGTCCATATTCTGCTGCCTTGGAAGAACATAAATCAAAATTAATTCAATGGAATACAGTTTAAAGGTATTTTGAGAAATAATCATTGTGGCTCTTATTTCACTTTTTTTGAACTGAGCATCCTTCTTCACATCAGAAACATATTAAAAATTTATTTTACACTGATCTATCCTTACATTATGTTCATTGTCATCAGCATTTATTTCAAAGAACAATTAAAATACTCCAAGAAACCTTTTGGCTTTCACTGATTCTTTGGTCTATTAATACATGAAAGTTGTGCAGAAGCAGCACAACTTTGAAGAAAAGATCACTTTGAAGGAAACAAAAAGGAACATTATCATGCCTCACAGTTGAAGACATATTGCCTTTCATCATTCCCTAAAAATCCCCAGGTGAAGTATTAAACCCAGATTCCAATAATTACTGGAAACTCAATTCCATTCTGAAATCCTATACTCTCTCTACCAGCTGATGATGCATGTGTGAGGGCTTTATATGAAAGTAACTTCATTTACTTGCTATGTTAATTAGTAGTGATGGGGAAATAGATCCTTTAGATTTGTACATACTCATAGTAAACAGCTGTTTTGTCAACCCTTAACCTTGAAACTATTCTCTTTGCTGTAAAACCCTCACACTATCTGTCTTCAGCTATGTGACTGTAAGGAATCCAGTTCTTGTCAAATACAGAAATCAAAGAATATGCATTGAAGATGTAGTCCAGTAGCTTAGAATACTACCAGTATGGTAAAAGAGAGTAATTTGTGCAGGAGCTCAGAATATCCAATGAGTACATTTAAAAGAATGACCCCACCAAAACAAATGGCAGACAGTGGAGCGGCCCCATAAACTCAAAGGATTTTGGATAAAGGCTAAAAGCCCTTTCAGGAGTGGTGGATTTGTAAAATTTCCAGATCCATAATGAAGGGATACTGCAATTAATCACATGCAGTGTATTCAGAGCTGGCTTATTCAAGACCAACCATTTAAATAGCATTTCTCTGGTGCAAAATTTACTCTTATATATCATCTCTGTGATTATTTATATGAATGTCCGATTATCTGCAAACCTCAAATGTTGATTATTAGAAAGCCTGTAAAGCAAAGCTTCCTTATATGACTGTTTCATTTTACTCAGCTGATTAATCCCCAGCAGTTCATTACTGATATCATTTATTTAACTTAAAAACTGTCAGTGCCTCAAAACAATTTTTCATGTGCCTCCGTGGTTGTGGTTCTTCAATAGGAAGATGTCAGCTCTCTTTTGTGTCTTACTTAATAACCTGAAATGAACTAAATAATTTGGAATGCTACCAGTGTTCAAAACCATCTTTTTGTAAAATGTAGATGAAGCAAATTAAAACAAATTAACAGAATGTAATGTATTTTAGAAAAGTTTTTAGTTACAACTGACATAAATTTGACCATGTAAATGCCTTGTCTTTTATTTACTGTCTTTCATGAATTTAGTTTTTAGATGCCAAAAAATGAGAAAATTCATTTATTACTGCTACTGCTAACTTCAATGAGAATTTTCTGTATTTTCAGTATGTTCTTAAGTACTGTCACAAACAAAAACTATGGTTCATGAGATAGGTACAGTTTTTCTGTTACACTGCCAAAACACTTTTTAATTGTGAGTTCCTATTTCTTCATTAATAATCTTTCTCAAAAAAAAAAAAGGCACAGTGTGCTCAGCACTTGTGATTAAGGGACAACCTTTAGTAATTTTGCAAGAGTTAGAGCAGTTAAAATAGTAGTCTCAATACATTTATTTTTAATTAGATAAAACTTACTTCACTAAATTCAAGCAGTGATTTCAATGACATACAGTGGCCTTAAACACTTATACTGTATTGTATGTTTTTGACCAGCCACAGCATGTTGTTTTGCTTAGGGATTGTTAAAAAAGTTCTAGAAATAAGATATTTTAGGTAATTATTAAAATATCTGAAAAATTAATCATTAGATTTGAAAAGAACCCTTAGGGCAAAGGAAAATTTTACAGCAGCATATTAACAGACTGTACTCTGCCATGGATCTATTTGTTTCCCTAATTTGAAATTAAACATATTTTACTTAATAATTTTTGCTTCTGTGTTTTATGAAATAGAATGAATTGTGTGGTGTTCAGTTGAAATTTTCTGTCCTTCGCTTCACTGTTTTCTGATATTTTTCAACAAAACTACAGAAGCTTAGGCAGGGCTCGCAGTAAGGGATTTTGCACAGATGTTGGAAAGAGCTTAAAGAGGAGGAAAATGTTTGTGACTAATCCTTCATCTATATTTAGTCTCTGGCAGAAATACAGGGAGTATTTAATGGAGGAAAGATAAGGTACAATGTTTAATAAATTTGTAAAAATAAAATGTACCAAACAAGTCGTGAAAATAGTTATTCTTAATGGCTGCCGTCATTTGCTTGCATTACAATAATAGGTGGAGACCAACTGACACATTATTGTGTCAGGAGCCTCTCCTGTTCTAAATTCAGGGGAAGGATGATGTTTAGCCTTTCATAACAGAGCTTTACATCAGCATGATTTCTATGATTTTGATTAATCTAGGAACCTATTGGTTAGGGTCCTGTGCTATGACTGAATGTTTGTTATCACCAACAATGTATGAACCTTAATCAACCATACCTTAAGAAAGAGAGAAATAGGGAATATATGTTGATATAGATGAATGCTAATTAGTCGCAGAACTGCTGTTATATTACCTGATGTTTGAGTACAGTATATCATATTACCCAATTGCATTTCTTTCCTAATACCCACAAATGCCCACTTAGAAAACTGTAACTTTTAAAAATACTTGTAATGGAGCTGGTCTGATTTTTCAGGTTCATTTCTCAACTTTGTTTAGAAAATAATGCAATTTATTTTCCTTAAAGTAGTTATAAACATAAATATTAATTAATTCTACTGCAACGCTACTACTGCTAACACTGATTGTGCTTTTTTTCCCCTGTGTTTGTTCTTGTGGATTGTATTGCTTTAGGAATGAGTGTGATTATAAAGAGGCATTGTTCCTTTTTAGAAATGTTTTCAAAAGCAAAGGAGAGCTATTTCCAATACAGTTCATGAATGGGTAAGATTATTTAGACACAGTAATACATGGACTTCGGTTCCTTGTGTATTTGTTGAATAATCTTCTTAGCTTTTGAAATCATACTGATTTTTGTAATAAGAGCAAGCTTTACTTATATATTTTTTGCACAAGTTTTTAAGTATGGCATTTTCCTGCTGAACCGAGTGAGGTCCTTGCTTCAAAATGACTAGTGGCTACAGGAGGGAACATACCACTCAGTGGTACTGAAAAGAATTTGCAGAGTTTGAATGCTTTAGCTCCATATGAATTTCCACAAAGAAGTCTATAAGAGTTCATGCAAGCAGAACAATAAGCAAATTGCTTAGCACTTCACATAGGAACTGTAGAATAAGTTATTTAATTTCGGGAATCATAATTTTCTTCACAAAGGCATCACGACATTTACAGATTGGCTGCAATAGGTCATTAGTTGTTTGCTGTAACTGTAGGAAAATGGTCTTGCCCTGTGCTCATGTATGCAAGTGTTAACATGTGGTGAATATGCAACCAAAACATTCTCTTGCTGTTAATTTTAAAAGCCACCACAGGTCTGGGATCAAAAGCACAATGAGTTTAGAAGCAGCATACGAAAAATTAAATAATTCAAAAAACATCAGTCAATTGTTTGTATAAATGCAGTGTTCAGCGGCTAATGTTAATTGGCATTGCTTAGTTTAACTCATTGGACCTGCACGGACGTATTCCAAGGTACCAGAGTTTGTACATATATATAACTGCTGAAGTGTATGACAATGAGAAGGTGAGTGTACTGACAGGCAACAAAATTATTTGTGAAAAAGCATTATTTCTGTTTGATTATGAGTACAGATGTAGCTAAGGTTTCCATTTGTCTTTCTGCTCTTTGAAATTTTTGTTTCAAGCTATCTAAATTATGCAAATGGGAACTCTGCAAAGACAAAATAAAACATATTTTGTATAGGATTTTGATTAAATTTTTTAGGAAGCCTGCTTCTCTTCAGTAATCATCATCAGACTCAGTCTGAAGTATGCAGTTGTATACAGATACATACTAAAAATGTGTGCTGAATTCCAGTCTAAGTTCCTATCTGTTGTTGCATTTTATATATTTTCAGTAATTCCATCAAGCTAGTGAATCTGTGCTCAATATTTATCAGCACGTGGCTGACAGCAGCTGGGTTCATACATTTGGTAAGTATATTTGGAATACTTCATTGACTATTTCTCATGAATCATCTGGTTTCTGAGCTACCTTATTAACTGAAATTGCCTTGCTATGGATAATCCCTTAACACATCTATAGAGTACAATAAAAAAAAGACATCACAGTTTCCCAAAGTTTAGGCTTCTACTCAAAACTAACTCTGAATAGTAAGCAATACATTATTAACCTCAGCAATAAAATGAGACTCGGACTGATGCAACTTCTTGCCTGATTACATTTACCGGTAGGTGGCAATGTTTCCTAAATAACTACCCGGCGTGCTTCCTGGAAAGGCTTGGCAGCGCTGAAGTGATACTGAGGTCCTGGGAAATCAGTGGTTGTGCCAGAAGAAAGCACTTCTGTATTTGCACAAGAAGTAATGGGATTGCTAACATTCTGGGTAGCAATTTTTTAGAGATTATTTCCGTCTCTTTTTTTTTATTATTTTTTTATTATTATTTTGTTTGGTGTAGCTTTCAGTCACTGATTTTTGTAATAGATTTTTATTCTTCCCTTAATAGTACCTGAAAAATGTATGATAGTATAGAAGTACATATGAGTTCATGAATGTGATTATGCTTATATACATTAGGTATGTCAATTGTGTATTTTAAACTTTTAAAATAAAGAGCATTTAGAGATTTGTTTGGTAAATATAATTAAATATGGTTAAGTGTTTGCCTTTTAAGTACATTTTATGACCAACTTAGAATCAGGAAAATTTCAAGCTGCTAGTAGTAATAAGTTATTCAGGAATAGTTTTGAACTAATATTGTAATTTGATGATATCGGTGGTAGTCGAGAGCAATTTAATTGACTTCAGTTGAATTACCTGGAGCTGCATCCACCTTTATAAGCTCAAATTCAGAATGTTTTATGTTCTTGGAATACCACATAGTCATTTAATTTTCACTCTTCTCAAGGTACACCAAAATTTTGGATGTTTTCATTTATGATGTTATTCTCGTTCATGAATGACCACATTTTTACACTCCTCTGGGCAAAGACAGCATTTTTATCATAGAAACATTATTTTTTTTCTATTTTTGAACAAAAATGTAAAAAACTTTTAAAAATTACATCAGGAGGGAGGGACTGCTGGTTTTTAGGGCTTGGATTTTGTCAGGGCTTTTTTTGTTGTTTTTTTGTTTATTTGTTTGTTTCCATTTTTTTTTGTTTGTTTTTTTTACTTTTCAGCATAAGTTTCTCTATTCTACTGTAAGAATCCTCAAATTTCAAATGTTTTACTGTGGAACAAATTTTAGAGGGCATGGCATACTGCTTTCCTAATGATAAATTTATAACTTTATCACATGCAGTAGCTGGCTTCTTGAAAAAGTAATTTTGTATCACTAAACTTAACATGTCACTAATGCCTTTAATAGCTACATAATGCTTTAAAACAAAAACATTAAGAAGTATAATTGTATTACAAGTAAGATTCACTCTGAAAATGTTCTGAACACATTACTGTAAAATGAACTTACCTAGATGCATTAATAAGTTATTTGTGAATGGAAAAGATACTTTCCATAAATAGTATGAGTGACAAGGCTGTGCATATTATCAAAAGAACTGTAATGCTATAATTGGGACAGGGTTAGGTTCAGTATTTGTTCAAAATAAATCACAGGAAAACATCCAGATTTTATACTATATGCAAATTATATAGAGAGACACACCCACACACATATCAATAGAATTAATTTGTGGTAGAACTCTGTTAAATCATTGTATGTTTTCTTGTTCATTTTAGGTGGAGAACTCAGGGGATCCATGGGAAAATTTCCAAAATAATCAACCACTGACATATTGGGAATGTGTTTATTTACTGATGGTTACAATGTCCACTGTTGGCTATGGAGATGTTTATGCAAAAACAACCCTTGGTCGCCTTTTCATGGTCTTCTTCATCCTTGGGGGATTGGTAAAATCTCTTTAATATAATTATTAATAATTACTATTATTTATTATTATTATTTAATGTCATTCCAGCTACCTTAATACTTGATCACGTATATGTCAATGCTGTAATTAAATAATAATATATGGTTTAATGAATTAATTTTAATTATAAAACTTTGAAATATATTTAATACACCTCATTTTTTCTATATATAAATATTTTTGCAGAGAATGTAAAATTAATCCAGTTTATTAGAGTCAGAATTTTTCTAATCCATTTAAATGAGTAATGCCTGTGAATACATGAAGTGCCTTAATATTTCAACATATAGTGTTATTTGTTGTCCTTTTTAGTGACTGAGTGTAGAGCATTTTTTTTTGTGGCTGCTGTTGATAGTTAAAGGCACTTTGCGGTTTCAGAAGTCCTAACCACCCTTCTGTGTTCCTTCCCAGAATTCCAACAAACACTGTGGCTTTGGACTGCCTTAAAGAGCAGCTTGCCTGATCCAGATGATGGCAAACCACATTCTTTTTAATTTCAAACATCCTTTCATGTCATGTAGCACAATTTGAACTCACAATTTATCACATGGCCATAACAAGTATCATTTGTATCGGCAAATTCTCGTGTTCTTTGTCCTGTATGTACGTAGCACCAAAGTTACTAATTGTCTTATGTCAACTTTTCTATTATTTATTAGTGTTAGTGATATTATAAGACCTCTTGCAATGTTATTCTCTAAAACAACAAGGTTTATTTTAATAGCTAAACTGTGCAAGGTAAGTGCTTTATGGACGACTCACAACATATATTGTGCACATACATACATATGTATATTGTTACTTTACTCTCATATATTAATTTCACATATACATACATCTTACAGAGGTGATATGTATATAACTAATGCTATGAATGCCATATATGAGACACACGCAAATACATATATATGACTATATATATGAGCATAAATATATGCATTCCCATCCATATTTATTGACATACGAAGGCAAAGACCATGTCAACTGGCAGTAGCTCTTCGAAGTATCCAGCCACAAGGAAAATGTTTGTTGGACAAAACATGGCAGAACAATTTTTATTTTCTCCTCAAAACCTTTTTTCTATCATGTGTTATTCCAGTCCTTTTACAAACAAACTTCTGGAGTTTTTTTGGGGGGCAGGGGGTGACCTTTTTCTTTCTTGGTGGGGGAATAACCCCTGATTCCATCTTGGTTTTGTCTTCTTTTGTATCCTAATAATGGGGGGGAAAAGTCTGTCCTTTAAAATAGAAATGTAACAGTAATGATAATACTTGGGTTTGTTTTTTGCAGTGGAGCTTGGATAGTTTTTTTTAACCTCTCCAGGAAGAATTAGACATAACTGTATTTTATTATTAGATACCCGTTTGAATTAATTTTGTTCTTGTTTTGTTTTTTGTGCCTTTTTTCCTTTTTTGGATGATTTTCTTAATTTATAAGGTGTACACCTTCTCCAAGATCAACTTTTACATTGAGCCCTCCTGTTTTCTTTGATAAGAACTTTTACATTTTTTAAATTTTCTTTTTAAAGAACTTCATAGATCTAATTCTTTTGCATTTTCAGATCTTAAAGATAGATATCTTCTGAAAATATTCATCATCCCCTTTCTTTGGCCTCTCTTTTTAGTCTTTTCTTCTGTCTCCTATCTTCTTCTTAGGCCATGTTTGCCAGCTACGTCCCTGAAATCATAGAGTTAATAGGAAACCGCAAGAAATATGGTGGTTCCTATAGTGCGGTTAGTGGAAGAAAGTAAGTATCCCAAGAGGCTCTGCTGCCTCTGCTGCAGTAGAACACTCTCTGCATGCCATTTTCCCTTTTTTTTTTTTTTTTTTTTTTTTTTTTTTTTTGTGTTTTTGTTTCATGCATGTAGGCAATGTTTGCTCGCTACGTGCCAGAAATTGCTGCTCTCATCCTTAATCGGAAGAAATACGGCGGGACTTTTAACTCAACCCGAGGCAGAAAGTAAGTCAAAAAAGACCAGGTGTGGTTGTGTGACTTTAAAGAGCCCCTGATGGTGGTAATAGCTGACTCACAGCTTATAAATCTGTATCCTTGACATCAGATGTTACCACTGCAGAGTTGTCACACTATAATTAAGAGACCTGGGCGATGCTATGGTACAAGTCACAACATTTTATCCCTGCTTCAAGAGAACCTGGGTACCACTGAGACTACACTGACCTGCCTTGTAAAAAAATGCTGCTGTTGCATATACAGTTAGCTTCTGGAACAAGGTTGACTTCTCACTTCACAGTTTTAGCCATCAGATTATCATCTGGTCATCTCTTAACTAAATGACAGTGGTAATTCACATGATTTTCAAACAATTCAGTTCTTTAGAAAACTTGGGTTTAGTGGAGTGCAAAATATGAGATTTATGTTGATCGGGTTATTCCATTAGACTGACTATGTCAGAGGTCTGATAGTGCTGTTTCTCATTGTTCGAACAGCAAATTCAGATATCATGAGGCTCCTTTTGACTTCATATGAATATTGCAAACACTCATGATTTTAGAATCTATGACCAGGAGTTTTAAAGTGATTCTGTTCTACATGCCATATAAAACCTATCCTAAGAAGAGCAAGTACTAGTCTTAGTATCAATATATTATGGAAAAAACCCAAACCCATCAAAATTACTTTTTTTATCTGTTAGCAAAAGTTAAATTCTGTTGGACCAGATTAGCTCGTTACATTTCTATTGAAAACCTACTTGTTTTCTTGACCAAGTTAAAACCAGCTCTATCTGGCATTCCCACCATCTAGACCTGCTGGGATATAGCCTTTAATGCACTAGATATACTTGGTGATATAGTAGTTTCTCCTCTATATCACCTTTAGTGTTGCCATCTTTTGTTTCATTACATATCATTTTGACAGTCACTGGTAGAGATATATTTGCCCTAAAAGATTAGTCTGATAGAATCCTTTCCATATAACATAAAGAAGGTACTGTAAGCAATGCATCTAATTAATTATCCCTCTCCTTACTTTAAGATATGGTTTTTACTATATTCCTTTCAAATCATCACACATGCATCATTTTATAAATATGAGTTATGATTTTATCAAGTTGTTTCTTCTCTCTGTGGAGCAAAAAGACTGTAAATGTCCCACAGAGCTAATTCTAGAGTACTGTTTTACATCACTGGGTAAAGAAATCAAATATTTTTCTTTAGCTATAGCTTATACTATTTTATGTTCAGTATTACTCAAGCAATTAGATGACATAATTGAAAACTTGAATACTTTCTTTTTTTTGAGATACCCTCAAATATCCAAAGTTTTGTTTTGTTTTGTTTTGTTTTACTGTGAACACTAATGTTGGAAACTTGTATCATAATTCACTTATGCAGATTAACAAAACGCCTTAATTTATTTCTCTATCTCGAGTAATATCATTAATGTCCCAAAATGTTTATTTGTGACAGTGGCCTATCAAGTTTCATATTTGTATTCATATTTGGTTTCTCAAAGGAAGAAGTTTTTCAAATACACCTCTGTTTTTGTGCCTCCAGAGGAGTTATGGCAGAGGGGAATATGATTAAAAACTGTTTTACTTACAGAATTTTAGTGTCTCCCGTTCTACATTGTCACTAGTACCCAGCATTGCTCAGATGTCTCTAAACTTGGACCTGATCTTCAGTCATAACCCCACATCCTGATAAGCTCATCTCCAGATTACAGGCTTCTGCTAGCTTTGGGGCATGCTTAATTTTATTTTCTCACCTTTTCTTTTTGTCTTTATTGATATCCACTATCTGTTTGTCTTTCACTGACTGTTGTAAGTGCTTTCTCTGCTGATCCCTGTTGCCCTATAACTTGTAATTTGAAACTCAGCTCTGTCATCAGCATACAAAGTGTTCAATTTACATTATGCATTGTTTTCTGGTTCAATTATTAATTACTAAGTAGTTTAAAGATGTCCTTTGCTCATGTGGGTCTTTCATCAGAGAATCTAAGCTTGGGAACTCCACAGTAAAAAGCCATTAGCACCCCTTGTTTGATGTTGCTTTTGCAGTCAATAGAACAAGATTGATGAAATGTTATGTTTGGCCAAAATTTCAGTTTTCATTTGGAATTCAGTGTTGAGAGAATGGATTGTCAGAAACAATAAGTTTTCCTTTGCTTGGGATATGGACATGTGGTAGTAATTAGCAATATAAGGTCTTTAGCTGGGCAACCAAGCATAGATTCTGGCAGCAAACATTATGAGAAACTACAGTTGTTCTATTCCTAACGTCAGAAAATTTCCAGATAAAATTAAATACTTGTACAAGAGGAAAGCAGCTAAATTTTGTTGAAAGATGTAGTTTTAGCTCTTGAAACAACAAATGTGTATACTTTTTAACTTTCTCCAAAATAGATAAATACATGCAATCTGCTTTGTAGCATTTATATATATGTTTATATATGTTGCCTCATGAACTGTATCTGTGGAATAACATGCTTCTATATGTTTATTAAGCATTTAGGTGGGAAGTTAAAATGAATATATGATTATGTATGTTTTGAGGATTGTACTACATTGTTTTAATACTAAGGAGAACCTTTCTATAGAATTGTAACTATTGAAACAGCTAGCATGTATGCATAAAAATTATTTCTACAAGTTCTACTTACTAAAGAGAAACAACCAACACACCAGCAAGTTTGAACTCACATTTCATTTTGCTTTTCGGCCAGTAAAGTCCCCAAAGGACCCATCAACTATGTAGGAATCATTTTGCACAATAAAGAATCTTACTTCTCTCTTAGATGAAACACATACATACAGAGTTTGGAAACAGAAGTAGTTTGTAGACAGTATGCAATTATCACTGGTTAAATTTACTAGACACTAGATAGTTTTGTTACAGAAGTTCACAGGGAATTTTAAATTTAATTTATAATCTCTGCTTTGTAATACAGTCCTGTAATGAGGCTTCTAAGGTCTCATAGAACACTAAGCAGGAATTCTGTTACAGTCTGAAGTTTCACCTGTTAAATGAACAGCACACACTGTTGCATATATACCAAAATGCATACCAATATATCTATACAAAATGTGACTGAGACCAAACATACACATTTAATGACAAGTAAGGTAATGACTTTGGCACAATTACAATGTCGTGCAAAAAAAAATAAATTACCAAAAAAGGTAACAATACTTGTCTTGAATTTCAGATTTGTAAGCAGAGATCTACTCTGTAGATGATGAGATTACTACTAAAGAGCTGTTTTGCTAGTTTCAGATCAGCTCATCAGAAAACTGTAATGTTTTTACTGTGTGCCCTGATACACTAGAATCAGATGGTCAGTAGACAAGAAAAACTGGCCTTCTTAGTTTAGTTATACTCAGAACAAACAATTGCTTCTTACTATAGTCACCACTAAATGCAAATGATACAGAGAAAACCAGACTGTAGGTACAAAACCAGAAAATAGTTGATATTAAATAAATAAATATTATATAAATATCTATATATAAATGAATATATATATATAAAACTAAGATGTAACTGAGAAATAAAGTTCAGACATGAGAAGCAATCAACTGTAAAAAATATTGTTTTCTAAAACTGATATGAGGTATCTTAGGATAACAGTGGTGTGACTTCCAATATTTTCCCCATTGTGTCCTACGTAGTTTTTCTGTTCTTTCACATGAGCAATTCAGTCACTATGTTTCTTCTTCCTCTGCATTTCCCTGGATTAATTCTGTAGTACATGATTTTACATTTTGGGAAATACTTTTTGCAAAGCAAGTATTTCACATAATATTCTTTACATATTAGTCAATATTCTTCTGATTTCTGAAGTAGGTAGCAACATAACTTACTTTCTCTATAGAACAGTTGGCATATTTTTATTATTAATAGACTAGTAACTACCTGACAGAGTTTTTGTGAGATTTAATTGAGTTAAGTTTATGCTTTCTGAAGGTGAGAAATGCTTTTGAAATGCAAAGTACGCAAATTTATAATGAAAGTTAACTCTTAGTAGTTGCTTTATCACCAAGCATTATGTCATCACATTGAAAATCATCTGCAATAGGATGTAAGACATATCCCACTAAAACATCGTGAAACTTAATAGATCACTCAGAAATAACTAATGAAAACATATACTTGGAACAAATTATATTCAGGTAATTTCACAAAGCAAATTAGTGACAAACTAGTATAGTTTTGAACAGATTAAGTAGTTTGTAATAACAAAATACTGGCTACAAATACTGGGGATAAAAGCTAGGTGTAACATGTAGTTGGGTGGAGAAGGAAAAAAATCTGACCTTTTATTACAGTTTTATAAAAAGTCTATAGATTAAACTTTAGAAAATAATACATAGTTTTATATATATAGACAGGGGAATTTTTATGCTTTTTTTGTTTGGCATCTTTTTCATCAGTTACAAACTGAAATGGCATATAGCTTGAGTGCTAACGATATTTCCTCTTAGTCATTTTTCTTAATAATTTTGAGACCAGCAGCTGGTTCCCTACACCCCATCTATATTTAACTCTTTTTTTAAGGTTTTCAGTATGCCTTACTCTGCTTAGGCTCTTTCTGTAACCTATCTATAGAACTCATAAATTAGTATTCAAGGGATCATTTTAAAGTCCATAGAAGGATGAAAAGGTATCTGCCACTCTGTCACCATAGTTGATAGTCTGTTGGGTTTAGAATGTAGCAATAAGCCATACAGGTGAGTTCATGTGTGCATACCTCTGTAAGGCTGGAAGAGGCAGTGATCACTTCGGATT